GGGGGGGCACCCCGGCGCTCCGGCAGCTTTTGGGGGGGGAGGGGGGAGGACTGGGAGCAGTGGGAGGAGGAGGAGGAGGAGGAAGAGGAAAAGCAGCAGGTGCGGGATGGGATAAAGAGGAGGAAGGAGGAAGGAGGGAGGAGCAGGGGGTAAAGGCGGTGAGGATGAGGAGCGGTGAGGAAGAGAGGAGGCGGCGCCGGAAGGGAATGGAGGGGGAGAGAGGATGGAGGATGAGGATGAAGAAAAGGAAGGTGAGGAGGGAGGAAGGCTGTAGGGGGAAGGGGAGGATGAGGAGAGAGGATGAGTTAGAGGAGAAGAAGGACAAAGCTGAAGAGGAGGAGGATGGTGGTGAAAAGGAGGATGAAAACAATGAGGAGGAGCGGGAGGCAGAGGGAGGAAGGCTGTAGGGGGAACAGGACGAGGAGAGAGGATGAAGAGGGAGGAGGATGAAGAGAGAGGAGGACAAAGACAGAGGAAAGCCATGGGGGTAATGGGATGAGGAGAGAAGAGGAAGAGAAAAGATAGTGCAGGAGGAGAATGAGGACGAAGATGAGTTGGAAGACAAGGATGAGGACAAAGACGATGCAGAGAAGGATGACAATGAAGAGGATGAGGATGAAGAGGAGCAGGATACAGAGGGAGGAAGGCCATGGGGAGAATGAGATGAGAAGAGAGAAGGAAGAGAGGAAACAGCACCAGAGGAGGAGGGAGGACAAGATGGAGAAGGACGAGGACAGTGAGGAGGAGGAGGGTGAGGAGGAGGAGGAGGAGGAGGAGGGTGAGGAGGAGCAGGACACAGAGGGAAGAAGGCCATGGAGGGGGGGAATGAGAGGAGGAGAGAGGAGGAGAGAGGAGGAGAGAGGAGGAGAGAGGAGGGTGGGGAGGAAGGGCGGCCGTGCTAACCGTGTCTGCCTGCTGCCGCCTCCGGGCCCTCTGGCCCTCACGTACCATTTGTATGATGGCGTCGGCCTCGGCCTCCAGCTGCCGGACGGCTGCCTGGATGCTGCCAGCCGCCCCGAGGCCCCCGGCACCTGATGGAGGGGACGGGGGGACACAGGGGGGACAAAGGGGGGGACAAAGGGGGGGACAGAGGGCGTTAGGGGGGGACACATGGACACAATTTTTGAGGGGGGGTGTTGAACAGGACCCCCTCCCGGCCCTTACCCAGGCGGCCGGCCTGTTTAGCTTTCTTGTGCGCGCGGCGGGTGTCATCACGGAGCTGGATGATGACCTGCAGGACGCGGAGGAAGAAGCGCTGCGTCGAGGTCTTGGAGGTGAGGACTGACATGGAGGGGAGCTGCAGCTCCCGCCCGCCCAGCGCCCGCTTCTGTGAGGCCACGATCACCACGCTCTCCGCCGTGTCAAACCTGCGGGGGAAGGTGGGGGGAGGGCTCGGGGTTAACGTTATCGGTAGGGGCAAGGGTTAACGGCAGGAACAAGAGGTGTTATTGGTAGGAGCAAGGATTAACAGCAGGAACAAGAGGTGTTATTGGTAGGGGCAAGGGTTAACAGCAGGAACAAGAGGTGTTATTGGTAGGAGCAAGGATTAACAGCAGGAACAAGAGGTGTTATTGGTAGGGGCACGGGTTAACAGCAGGAACGAGAAGTGTTATTGGTAGGGGCAAGGGTTAACAGTGGCAGGAAGGAGATGTGTTATTGGTAGTAACAACGGTTGTTACCAGTAGGGGCAAGGGTTAACAGCAGGAGCAGGAGTTATCAGCAGGGACAAGGGTTAACAGTGGGGGTGAGAGTTGTGTCAGTAGCGGTGAGAATTAATGGCGGGGTGAGAGTTATCAGTAGGGACGAGGGTTAATAGCAGGAACAAAAGGTAACGGTAGGGGCGAGAGTTGTTATCAGGAGGAACAAGAGGTAACGGTAGGGGCAAGAGTTGTTAACAGCAGGGGCAAGGGTTGTGTCAGCAGGGGCAAGGGTTAATGCCAAGTGCAAGAGTTATCAATAACAGCAAAAGTTAACGGCAAAAGCAAGAGTTATCAGTAGGAGCGAGAGTTAACAGCAGCAAACAGAGTTAGCAGCAGGGACCAGAGTTAGCAGCAGGGACCAGAGTTAACAAAAAGTGCAAGGGCAGTCAGTAGGGACCAGAGTTAACGGCAGACAGGAGCTCACCGACTCTGCATCTTCCCCTTGAGCTTGGCGCTGGGGGGCTGCTCCTCAGGGAGCCCCTCGGGAGAAGGAGCCTCGCTCTGCGCCCGTCGTTGCTGTTCCAAGTTGTATTCCCGTAATTCCGCCAGCAAGGTCCCTACACCGGAAAAAAACCCAAAAGACCCGTGACATCATCAGGAGCCGGCAATGACCTCAGCGAGCACCCGTGTTGTCCCCCCTCACCCCCCCCAGGTCCCTCACCAATCTGTCGACAGAGGGTGGCCCCCAACTGCCGGGCGCCGCTGAGCAAAAGGCGCAGGACGGTGTCGCGGGTGGCGGCGTCCCCCCGCGAAAGCTGCAGGAGGACGTTGGCCGCGTCCTCCAACCCTTCTTCCGAGCACGAGTGTGACGTCAGCACCTAGAGGACATTGCTGGAGGGTTAGGGACGCTTGGGGGATGGCAACGACCCCCCCCCGCCCAAATAATTTGGGGGATCCCTGACCCAGCTTACCTCAACGGAGAGTTGGAGCTGGCTCTCAGTCAAGCCCGTCGCCGCCATCCGGGGGTCGGCACTGCCACTGCCGCCCCCCCCCTCGGGTCCCTTCGGCCCCGGGGACTTGGCGCTCTTGGCTTGGGGACAACGGGGGATGTGTGGGGATGGTGGCGGGGGACGGGGAAATGCCACCGCCCCCCTTTATTTGCCCTCAACCACCCGACGCCAGCTCTGTCCTCGTCCCTGTCCCCAGCCCCGTCCTTCGTCCTTGTCTCCACCTGTGTCCCTCTCCCT